TCTAAGCTTTCGGCTTACATAAACCATCATCAGAGATGACAAGTACATTACAATAAATTAAACAATACACGGACATAGCAACAATGATAGTCTGTTTTTGTTTGCATGGAAAATTTCCAAGCAACGACAAACTCGTGCATACGAGCCTCTGCTAGCGAAAATTACACCGCGGTCCATGAAATCACACATGACCACGCGAGAGTGAAAACGAGAAGTGTTAAGTATGGGAAGCCGTTGGTATAAACCAATGGCTTTTGTTGTCAATTATAGGCATTTAAGTATATTTTTGGAGTTTTAATAGTTTATTTTGTTCAGGTTAGGTTTCAACTGTATAATGTATATAGCTTCAAGAATTTTTAGTTTTTTTTAAATGTTTATATATAGTTGTGTTTTCAACAAGGATTTTCCGCGATTGTGTATGCATGTTGTTTTAAATGCCTAAAAATGTTAGAATTATCATTCAAATGTAGAGTCAAGCGTTGAGAAAGCGAGTTTGTGATGTGACCAAAATTGATAGATAGATAGATAGATAGATAGATAGATAGATAGATAGATAGATGAGCAGACAGGTAAAAAGATAGATCATCAGTATGTGTGACATTTATATATAAGTGTATATGCAAAGGAGGGGTTTATTTTTACAGTTTTTTTTTAATGCCAATGCTTTAGATTATTAGTGTCTTGACTTTGAAAGTGTTTATTTTATTCATATATTTAATTAAATTTTATTTTAATCTATTTAGTTTTGTTTTCATTTTTTACTATACTTACTTCATTTAGGAAGTTTGGTATTTGAAATAACATTTATAAGATTGGATTCCTGGTTGTCTAAGCTTTGTGTCATGACACGAATTCTTACCACGCTACCTACAATCTCATCCCAATTCAAAATACTAAACAATGAATAAAATAAAGGTTGTTACAGTAATTGAGAGAATGAGTAAAGAGGCTGTTAAAATGCAGAAAGGCTTCTCTCATATGATTAATAGAGAGCAGTTTCGTTTTGGATGCGTTAAAATGAAAAAGCAATTCATGTCCTCAGTTAACAACAGATTGTAGTTCATTTTTCGATCAGCTTCCAATTTGATTTTAACGAACTGTTCAGACTTTCTATTGGGACGGTTTTTAGAATAGTGAAGTCTACTCTAAAACATGTATCAACTAAATATCACAGCTTCGAAGACGAGGGACACATCCCACCCGAAGGAAGAAGACATAATCCCCAGGTATCTCTACAAACTGACCAAGCTACTCTGCTCTAAGCAACAACTGATGGAGAGCCAAACTTTAATCGAAGACATAGCATTCTTTAGCCCTAGGTAGAAATAATGGACCATATGTAAATATGTCCGTCATTTTTTCTGGGTACAATGCTAGTTTATAATCAGAGATTATCACGGATTTGAGGAGTATTATACTGAATGTCCAGGTGAGAAAATCTCTTCAGTAAAGTTAATAATATTCTATGTGGATTTCTTCAGCTCCAATGAATATTCTATGTACCTTGTCCCTTCAGGACATGGGTGATCATGGCTCTCCACAACTCCTCATCCTTTATAGTTTTTAGTTGTTTTGTTTGTTTAGTGAGATATAAACTCCTTATTAGTCATTTAATGTCAAAATTGAATTTTCTTGGGAGTATTAGAAATTTCTTTGACAAAACTAATACTGGTATTTTTTTTCTTACAAAAATGTATTGCTGGTAATATTTTTATTTTTTACAAAAAACATTTATTTTTTTTACTTTGAAAATCTATTGCTGGTATTTTTACTATAAAAATGTATTTTTATACTTTCATAGTGTTTTGAACCTATTTTTGGGGGTTAACTATTTACCCATAGTTCGGACCCTAACAGGTACTACCATCTCATGTCATGGTGGACCTGGGGACAACAGCATTTAAGTGGTGCATCCACGCTCCTCAAAAGCTACCGATCAGTGGCCTTGCTGCCGGATGTAGTTTATCATCATACCCAGGACGAATACCTTTTAGTAATATTTGTCTTCTTACATTCATTCATATAAGCTCGTCGGGTAGGTGACCCCCCCTAACTGACCCGTCTCTTTTACTATACTCACATAAATCCAAATTCCCTTCGCGTCATTCGATTCCATGTATTTTCAGTTTCGTCAATGTTTCATTAAACTTGAACCAAGAGCGCGATGCTGCGCAAATCACCTTCGCTGTAGTATGAAAAGAGCTGATATCATGCATGGTATGAGTTTTGTTATCTTTTGACAGCGTTTTCTTCGTATTCTCGCACAGTTCGAACACAATTCTCGCTTTGGGGAAATGGAAGTTCGAAATCATCGATAAAACTATGGCCGTTTGCCAAGTAGATTTTAGTTAGACATCTGCTTAAGTGGGAAGAAGTTGTTGTGAATATATTCATATCTGTGAGAGTTTGCTTGAAAGCGGTTGAATGTGTGTGGGAAAATACTGAACTTCAAACACGAATTCGCAATTCTCGTCTTTCTTCCCTGTCTTCTTGATCAAAGTCCAACGCAGTGCATTATTTGCCATTGCTTTCATGAATCAATAAATTAACAAGCGGTCGATTGTTTTTCTGCAAACTGGTCGGCCATTTTCCCGCCAGAATAATATACTGGACAGTGTAACACCATATTGCCTCATCGGTTATCCATTTTGAAAACAGCGCTTCTGTCAGAGAGACAAGCACACGCACCCTTTGGCGCTGGAAAAGATAGATTCGAGCGGATAGAGATAGGTTTTTAAAAAGCTTCTATTTTGTACAATTTTACAAGTACGCAGATGTACTGAGAGTTAGTGGATAAAAACATTACATCAAGTATCATTGTTGTCTGAGAGACTTTATCGATTGAATTTGGGTTGGGCGTAATAAAAGTATTGTAAACAATTTATGAAAATCTAAGCTTCGATTGCAATCTTCTGTGTTCACACACACCACACACATAAACATACCCACACATCGAGACACACGCACAGACACGCACACATACACACATGCTTACATGCACGTACATTCATCTTCTTTTAAAAACAATGTAAAATAATTTACCAAACGAAACGAGTCTGAAACAACGATCTGTTTTATTATTATTAGGAAATGTTCATGCGAACAGCAACTGTTTCCAGTACTCCGATAACAACTGGCACGACAGTCATAGTTCATTTTTAATATTATTTACACGCAGATTATTGAACCTATATTTGTTATTGCTATCACGACGTTTCGACCGTTGTACATTTCCGCCTTCATCAGGTGCTTGTCTAACCTGTTAACCTTAGGGTAATTTCGAATTGAACCTTTTTTTTTTAATCGATGGGGTTGATTGTCCTCATGACGCTTCAAATATAAATAGCCTAGTAGATTAGAGTTTTGTTCGCAAATTTGCTGACATGATAATTGGGAGTTCAATCCCTGGGCCGGGTAGTGTGAACTTGGACTCAATGGAAACAGGGCGAGCAATAACCGAGAGTAGTAAATAAGTACAAGACAAGATAAGGTTAACCGCATCGACAATCATGTGGTGAAGGCTGGAGTGCACAACGGCCGAAACGATAACTTGATAACAACAACAAAGATGAGGACATTAGTGAAAAATAAATAAATAATAACACCTCATCCTGAAATTCAGACAGAAATGTCATCTTTCCCATTCTTCAATTTCCTCAGTTCATTCTCAAAATCAAGTTCCTTAGAGACTTTTCCCAGTATTCTAATAATTACTGGCACGACAATTTCCTCATCTGTGAAGAGGTCATGTGGCTTTTCACATGAATTGAAGTATCTCATCAAAATCAAGGTATTATGCTTTCTTTTCGCTTTCTCTCGTGTCTATGTCTACTAAGTAATCAAAAAAAATATTCATTTACGCCTGTCTTCAGTAATACAGTGATTTGGCTGATTCCAACTCTTTTCCTGATTTCCAGGACTTTTTTCTACAGTCTTCAGAACCATTCCCAGTATTCTAATAATGACGGGAACTGGTGTCACCTTTCATGTTTCATAATCAAGGTAGTTATGCCTTCTTTGTTTTCACTTTCTTTCATGTTTATTCTATCATTCAGCAGCAACAAGGAAATCCATTTATATTCTGGCTCTTTCAAATAATGCCGTCTTCTGTATCGTTCCAACTCTTCTGATTTCCAGTTCCTCCAAGCTTTGTCCGAGGTTCTTCAGAACCGCTTTAGTGCTCCAACAACCACTGATACGACTGTTACCGTTCATGTTCCATAATTTCCTCAGTTCTTTCTCAATGAAGAAAAATTTGATAGCTTCCCACGGCTTTAGATACCTTTCAGAAAGTTTCTTTTGTAGCCATTACTGAATAAGTTTAGAAAAATAATTGATAAATGCCCACCGCCCCCGAGTATGTTTACCGCCTCCCAAATAAAATAACTACCCCCTTGCAACATAACAGAGCCCACAAGGGGTCGCTAGTGCCCACATTGGGAAACACTGTTCTGTTTCAAATAATGTCGACTTTTGTATGATTTCAACCCTTCCAATTTTCAGTTCCTCCAAGATTTTACCCGAAGTTCTTCAGAACCATTCTTAGTGCTCCAACAACGACTGGCACGACTGGCGCGATTATTGTTCCACAATTTCCTCAGTTCTTTCTCTAGATCAAAATGTTTATTTCTTTGTTACTTTCTTTCTGGCACTTGTTGCATCGGCTAAATTCACTATCAGGCATATTGCTTCATTTTTGTTGATGACTATTATGATCATGATTACTGTTGCTGTGATGGTTTCCCCCTCCTCATTGAATGCTCTCACAGACACCAGAGATCAAGTGATAGCAGGTCTCTTCTATACAACAGCATTCTTCTTTATAGTCTACCTGTTTTCAATAATGGCGTCGTTTGGATGATTCGAAATCTTCTGATTTCCAGATACTCTTTAGAACCATTCGCGTAGCTCCGATAATGGTTAGCACCTTCAATTTCTAGAATTATGACAGTTCTCGAAAAAGGTTGACGTATATATCGTTTCAATTTCTTTCATCAAAGCATACAGCACCTGGTATTCCCAAGCGGTCACCCATCTAGGTAATAACCAGGCTGGACGTTGCTTAACTTCGTTCATCGTTTGAGAACCGTTGTTTCAACATGATATGGCCGTAAGCCATAGAACATTGAAAACATTGGCTAAAGACATGAAAGTAATTACACTTCAAGTAAAATAATTTTAAAAAAGGATAAATTAACTGAAAAAATAAAAGAAAATTTATTTCTCAGCAGTAATTTTAATGATGAATGCAGAGCTGAATTGGATGGATCTTATGTTTAGCCGAAAGATTTGGCTCTTCATGAAAATAGACGTGAAACATGACTTAGAAGAAAACAGTGTGTAGGTGGGTCATTGTTTTAGGTTAGTGCTGTCGGTCGTAAAGTTATCTTTCAAAGATAATAGTATCAAGATAAATGCAAAGAATTGTTGTAAGTTCTTTGACAAGACGCTTTTTAGTAATCAAGGTCAAAATCAAGGAACTTTAATTAAAAGGTTCCCGTCACAAGTCCCATTACGTATTAACGGGTGTAAGGACATCACATTTACCGCCTGTCATAGCAACAGTGGTGTGTCTTGGGCAAGATTGCCTGACGAAGTCCATCCCTCGTCAGGCTTGTTTTCTTCTTCTAGTTCGGTCGCCACCTGAAGGCAAGAGATCCCAGTTTACCTTGGTATTTAACCCATATCTGGAAGGGAAATACATCCATGTCTTTTACTCGGGCATTAATATGAAGTGAACGAAAAAGATTGAAACGGAATTGAACTTAGCATGTCGATCACTTTCATCGCCGACAACCGTTTGACTCAAACCGCTAAATAATATTTCTTCACATTCCACATACTTTACCAAAAAAAAAAAAAGACACGAAATTAATGGAATTGCCCACCTCCCAGCCTCTTTGGATATTAATCCAATAGAAAACTTTTGGTCTCTCATTAAAAGAGATGTATATGAGAATGAAAAACAATATTCGTGCAAAGATGGTATCTGAAAAACAATAAAAACTGCTGCGAGTAATTTTAAAAACAAAATAGTTCAGAAAATCGATGACTGAAAGTTTAATGAAGGTCACAGCATACCAAAAAGTATTAACATGTAAAATAATAAAATTATAATTTATTCCAGTTTATGTGATACTGTGTTAATCAAATATATGTTGATCCATTTTGTATATTTACGATTTATTTATAAATAAGAATTTATATTTCATTTGGTTTGTTTTCATAATAAAACCAGAAACCGATAAAAAAAAGTAATTTATTAATATTATTATTAAAGAAAAATAATCAGCTAAAAGTTACAAAATATATAAGTTTGTCTTAAACCTTTTACCAATATCGGTTGGGTAATGAAAACATTGGCTGCCATCATAAAATCTGATATAGGATTTGGCGAAATCTCAGTCGTTTACCTAATTTCTATTGGATCACGATTCCCACCAATCATATTTTGTATTTTCTCGAGGCAGTTTAATAGAGTCTCTTTGATTAAGAGCCATCTGAAAATTCAGACAGGCGATATTTACTTTTCTCGGAAGATAGATAAATGGAGGTTGAGAGAGAGAGAGAGAGAAAGAGAGAGAAAAGAAGATATATATCGAGAGAAAGAGAGAGGAGCATGTAAGAGAAAAAACATTCAGATGTTAGAAAGAAAGAAAGAAAGAAAGAAAGAAAGAAAGAAAGAAAGAAAGAAAAAAGAAAAAAAAAAAAAAAGAAAAAAAAAAAAAAAGAAAAAAAGCGAAAACAAGAGAAAGAAAGAGTGAAAGCGAAGGAAAGAAAGAGCCAAAAAAGAAACAAAGAGACAAAAGCGAAAGAAAGAAAGAAAGAAAGAAAGAAAGAAAGAAAGAAAGAAAGAAAAAAGAAAGAAAGAGAAAAGAAAGTGCGAAAGAAAAAGAAAGTAATTGAAAAAATGAAAGAAATAGGGAAAGAAAAAACAATCGAATGAAAGAAGGAATGTGAAAAGAAAAAAGAAAGAACTTGATAGATAGATAGATAGATAGATAGATAGATAGATAGATAGATAGATAGATAGATTCTTAAGAAAGAAAGAAAGAAAGAAAGAAAGAAAGAAAGAAAGAAAGAACTGAATCGTATTGGAAGACATTATGCTACAGAAAGAAAGAAAGAAAGAATCTTCAGATAGATAAAAACAAGCTTGGGACAGATAGATAGATAGATAGATAGATAGATAGATAGATAGAAACAAGCCTAAAATAGATATTGTGAGAGGAGGCGGATTTTTCTTCTATATTGTCATGTCCTCTCAGTAAAATCATGGCTTTATTCTTCTACACTGGCTTTCACCCATGGCGAGAGAGGTCAATTTACCATGTTATTTAACCTATATATCGGTGGTATGGACGAGATGGGACAATTGTGCGAAAGGGAATGCAAAAGATTAAGCTGGAATCTGAACTAGGTTAGCTATCCACTATCCGCATTGATAACGCTTGCGATACCTACATATCACATCTGTCATATCCCCATATTGCATGTTATATCCTCATATCGTATCTGTTATATCCTCTATCGCATCTGTCATATCCTCATATAGCATCTGTTATATCCTCATATCGCATCTGTTATATCCTCATGTATCTTTTATATCCTCATATCACATCTGTTATATCCTCTACCGCATCTGTCATATCCCCATATCGCATCTGTTATATCCCCATATCGCATCTGTTATATGCTCATATCGTATCTGTTATATCCCCATATCGCATCTGTTATATGCTCATATCGTATATGTTATATGTTCATATCGCATGTTATATCCCCATATTACATCTGTCATATCCTTATATCGCATCTGTCATATTCTCATATCGCATCTGCTATATCCTCATATCTCATCTGTCGTATCCTCATATCTCATTGGTTATCATTGTGTAAAGATTGTAGTGATCGAGAAAGAACGGAGAAAATACCGTGTCTTAATATTACACGATAATTCCATGTCTTGGAAGGTCGTCAAGTAGCCTTTTTGATCCAAGCTAATACCAAGATTATGAGTATAAGTTACCAACTGTTAGAATTCTGTGTTAGATTAAAATAAATTTACTAAGTATCTATAGTTTAGTCCTCTAAAATCGAGATTGTTAGATATAGATATAGATTAACAATACATTCCTGTAAAAATTGTTTTATGAAAACTTCTAAAAAAAATCCTCTTTCTTAACCCTTTGAACCTTGACCACCGCTTTAACGGTAATGGAGAAAAATGACGTAATGCCCAGCTACCGGTTTAACAGTGGTAGAGAAAAATGATGCAATGCCCAGCCACCGATTGAACGGTGGGTAAACACTTGTAACTATTTTTATATCTACTGTGAAACATTACATACCAATTATTTGCGAATTTTGACACAGGAGCTCAAATAGAAGAGTTAAAATTGCTCAGGATCGCAGGCCTCAATCGATTAACTTTTACTTTAAAACAACTAAAATGATTCTAATTTCTCTCAACTTCAGAAAAGGGGTCACCATTAAATAAAAAAATATTTCTGCACAGATTTTACAATGTAGCAGATGTCATGTGTCATGTGTTAGTTTTCTAATGTAAGATGTCACTACCCTCTACACCGCAAAATAGATTGTTTTGATAAGTTACTAAGCGTAGCTTAGATGTAGCACAAACCTGGAAGTATATATCACCAAGTGAGAATCGAACTCACGACTCAGTCGTAATTGGTATAGCAAGACAAGCGCGCTAATTACATCACGTCGAATGTCATGATTTCCAAAGAGAAGCTTAGATATGACACAAGGCCGAAAGAATGTAGTAATCAGTGAGAATCGAAATAACTACTCAGTCGTAATTGCCAGATTGAGACAAGCTTACTAACCATTAGACTAATGGTTAGCAAGTTTTACAAAGCGAATCTTAGATGTGGCACAAGGCCGAAAGTAATGAGCATCTAGTGAAGATCAACTCATTAGTCAGTAGTAATTGATATGGCAAAATTAGCACGATAACACTAACCATACGTCGAAGTGCTCTACAATAGAATGTTATGAACAGCAGATAGCAGTCACAATTTGACTATGAAATACTCCACCTATCTATGAATGTACACCCTTCTGCAAATTAATTGAAACAACTGCCTCAGTTTCCTTTCCTTCGCCATACGGTCTGTTTTAGACGCACTGGAGTGACAGGGTGTAATCGATTTCCAGTTTTTCATCAGTTTAGTTCATTTGCATTGGCGTGCAGTAATTTTCGAGGTGTATGATGAAATTTGTTGGGCCTTGAAAAATATTGCGTCATCCGTGATTGCATCAGATTTTTATCACGCCCAGACACTATTGTCTCGACTGTCGATTAGTTGTCCTAATGCTATTTTCTGCGATGGACGTTACTCAAAGGAAGCATATGAAAATTGCAACACTGCACGAACACACTAGCAAGCCATATCAGTGAGCAAGTCAAAGTACTATAGATTGGCACGGAAACTCTCCTGATTTAAATCCAATCGAGAATCTGTGGTCAATCTGCAAAGAACGACTTCGTGGAACAGACATAAGACGTACTGACATGTGCACTGGGACATGTTTCATTGGGAAAATGTGAAAAATGTAAATGATAACTGAATTATTCGCTTTTTGTTTCAATTAATTTGCACAATGTCTCAATTGTAAATCTTATAAGTGTAATTTGCACAATTATTATTGTTTATTATGTCTCATTTGTAAAGTTTATAAAGGACTGAAGACTAATTTTTTTAATAGAAGAGACCCTCGATAAATCATGACGGTGATATGACATGAAATTTTGTACCGTTTATCTCAAGTGTTTAAATTCTTTGAAGAAAACAGGTATAATATCATACTTATTATAAAACCCAGGTTGTGTGTGTGTCTGTTCGTTTATATATTGGATCGGATTTCCTACATTTTTCAACAGATTTCAACAAAACTTCACAGGACTACGTAAAATTACCTTGCGGTGGTCCTGGCAGCACCCAAAATTGGAAAAACACAATTGTTTTTGCACGAAATCAATTTGAAATCACAATTAAGAGGCATCACTGTCGCGAGAATGAAAGGGGGGCAACTCATATCGAGTTATACTTATTATAGAACCCAGGTTGTGTGTGTGTGTGTGTGTGTGTGTGTGTGTGTGTGTGTGTGTGTGTGTGTGTGTGTGTGTTCTTATATATGGGATCGGATTTCCTACATTTTTCAACCGATTTCAACAAAACTTCACTTTTTTTTTTTGGCAGGTAGTGTTTTTTATTGTCTTGCACACTTTTTCTTTTTTTTTTACATTCAGAATGCTTTTAAAATTCCATTTACAAAACAATTGTTTATAATAAAATTCTATTCAATCGGTAGACTCATAACGATTGAAAACAATGTTTTTGTTTGAGTTGGGTTTTGACCAATTCGTAAAAAAAAAAAAAAAAAAAAAACTAATTAAGACATGCGTGTCCGTCAACCTTAAGCAATAATCTTTCTCAATTTTATTTTTCAGTCTTTATGATGGTCGATACTTGATCTATCTCTTACTGTTACATCCCCGGGCAACGCCGGGCTCTACTGCTAGTCTAATATAAATTGATATAAAAAAATTCGAAACCTACTCGCTATGCTTACATTCATTCTTATACCTACAAGAATGAAGACATTGAAGAACGTGTACAATTTTCCTACAAACGGGCAGAATATTGGTGTATGCTCACAAAATCGTGTCTCTCTCTTTTTTTTTTAAACCTTCATAATTCATAGAAGAAATGTTGTTATTTTTACCAGCTGCGACACTGTACTTGTTAGGGGACTGATTCCCTTGAAAAAAAATCTGTTTAATCTAGACTTTTACAATCGATTTCTACCGATAGGAGAAAATTGGTCAATCATCGAATATCGATAGGCTGGCATAAATACTGAATAGATATTGGGTCCGAAAGCAAAAGTCCGAAAGGATAAAACTGACGTATAATGGCAAATATACGCGTTTCTTTAATAATATACTTGCCTTATTGCTTTCCTCGCTCATTCTTGTCTCGAGTTTTCCCGTTGCGCATATAAAAAGAAAAGTAAAAGCAGAAAGAGAATATTAGATTTTTGAAATTTAATAAATAAACGTACGGTTCTTTCTCTATAATGTATAGTTGTCAGTCTACTGTTATGATGTATAGTCGGCAGTCTGAACTCAATTTTGTTGTCATTTTGAAAATGAAATTATTGTTTGGTTGTACATCTACTCCTAGACAACGCTTATGTCTACGTGAACAGAAGACATTCTTACATACATGATAGCTTTCCGAAATCTCTTCATCAGTCCCCTAACAAGTACAGTGTCGCAGATGGTAAAAATAACATCATTTCTTCTATGAATTATGAAAGTTTAAAAAAAGAGAGAGAGAGAGAGAAACGATTTTGTGATCATAGGAAGCAAAGTTAACACAATTCTTGACAAAGGTTGGAGATCACTGGTTGACAAATTATCTACCTTACGTGCACAACATAACTATTTCCTAGGCGAAAGAATCAACGTATATATATATATATATATATATATATATATATATATATATATATATATAAAGAGTTTAATTCGTGATAAAATAGTTCGTATATTCAAAAGCAACAATTTCATTACCTACAAGTAATACTATCTTTCTAGAATAAGTGGGTAGCGTAACAGCTATCATGCTGTGTTCAACTTCACACTATGACCTTGAAAAATGCATTAATCTATTGACCCTTCATCAGCTATGAGCTAAATATGAGGATAATAGTCTGATTGATTTTTTACGGTTTATCAACCTTTTGCAGGTTATTTAAAACCAGAAAATATATATTTTTAGATTATAAGAATATTTTGGGCATAATAACGATTTACTGATACAAGTCTTACTAATTAACCCATAGCTGTGAAAGAAGAAGAGGTGAATTCATATCTTTCATTGTGCGTAAGTGATTATAACAAATCCAAGTAGAATTGGAACTCGGCTCTCTGATTTCCAATTCAAAGTCGCAATCCATTACACCATCCGCATATCCAAGCTTACAGCATCCTTTCTTCTCGGTCATCAATCTATATACTGACCAGCCTCGACATTGCTTAACTTCGGTGATCGGACAAAGATCAATGTTTCAAAATCATATGGTCGTCAGCCCAGCAGCTAGTGTAGAAATATTCTGAATTGATAGTAACTGTGGAAACTATTTCTTTATTATCCCAATAAATCATGGCAATTAGCAGATAACACTGTAAAGGAAACTGTGGAGTGCCATGATCTGAAAAATGAGCTCGTGACTGAGTCAG